ATATTCTCAGGCTCAGAAGAAGAAATGCCCGGATCTCTGCCATCTTTATAACTGATTTTGCGTTGATGAAAATATTGAGAAGTATCAAGTGCGATTGTAATCGTATGTTAATTCCACGTTTTTTGAGCTTCATGGATGTTCAAAATCTTTACCCCTTGGGGGGAGGTACCAGAAGGAGTGGTCCGATATATCCCATCTTCATAGCAGATCTTGTGTTAGTAGAAACTATGGGGTGTGTGAAATACGAAGAGAATCGGATGCTTTCGGATTTTATGATCCTTTTGGTTCTACAAAACTGTTACCGTTTGTGTGGGAGGTAACAGAACGTATGGTGAGATCTTTTCCATATCTTGTGTTGATAAAAATATTGAGATGTACCAAGTCTGAATTAATTTCGTGTTTTATGAGCTTCAAGGATATTCAAAACGTTGAGGGAGGTACCAGAAGGAGTGGACCGATATATCACATCTTCACACCTGATTATGTGTTGCAAAAAATATTGTGATGGGTGAAATTTGAAGAGAATCGGATGCTTATTTCGCAAATTATTAGAGATATAATTATTCAAAATTTTGATCCTTTGTGGGGGAGGTACCAGGAGGAGTGGACTGATATTTTCCATCTTCACACCAGATCTTGTGTTAGTAGAAATATTGGGATGTGTGATAATTTAGTATAATCGGATGTATATTTCGAATTTTATAAGAGTTATAATTATTCAAATTTTGACCCTATGTGTGGGAGGTACATGATTGAGTGGGTCGATATTGTCCATTTTCCCAGTTGACATAGCACCGATACAAATATTGTGATTTGCAAAGTTTGAACAAGTTTGGATGATCCGTTCTTGTTATATAAGGGACATTTTTTTTGTTTTTAATTTTTTTACTTTTTGTGGTTGAGGTACCAGAAGGAGTGGACCAATGTTGCCCATCTCCGAACTCGATCTAAGTTTGACAATTATATTACGATGTACAATGTTTTATATAAATCAGATGCTCCCTTCGAGAGTTATAGTGCGCGCCAGCCAGCCAGACAGACGGAAGGACGGACACCGCTAGATTGACTTCAAATGTTCTGGAACGGATTTCGTCCAAAGAGACCTAAACCGTTAAACCGTTATTTCGATGACCGTATCAAATGATATATACCCTCTCTAGCCGTATGGCTAAGGGTATAATTATGCCCCAGTTTTTTATAACTGACTAATGTAAGCTTGGGATTTAGGCCTATTCTTTTGGTACGTCCCTGGCTAAGGGTATGCACTGATTTCAGCCTAACACTTAACCATTTGCCAATCATAATTTAAAATAGACATTATTACATTACGAAACTACATTTTTTCACAAATTTTTTTCAAAAGTCACTATATGTTTAAAAATGTTAATTATTTTATTTAATTCCATAAAGGTGTGTGTTTGTCAAGTTCATTTACAATTTGACTTCAAATTTCGCCAAAACCAACCCTTTTAATAACTTCCGTTCTCAGAGCGGCATGACTTTCAAAACTGAATCGCAAATAAATAAAAAAGATTCCTTAGATAAAATTCTTAGAGACACATCATCGGAGGTAGTTGTCTTTATCATGCTCCACATATAAAAGAAAACTAAGCAACAATAAAAAACTCTAATAAAAAAAGATATTTGAAAAATGTCTTAATTAAATACTAACTGTTCTTTTTTCCAGCTATTTAATTAACCAGCAAGAAAGGGTGAACACAAACAACAACAAACATCAACAGTCACGTTCCACCGCGTATGAGTAATGTTATCGTCCGCGTTTGAAACAACAAATTGATCATACGTCACACTTGACGGTCGCTCACAATTCTGCTATCTCGGCCTCATTCTCTCGCACCAAATTTGCTCATATATATTTCTAGCTATTAACTGTATCTTACAGGTGTCAAAAGCCTATCGCTTTTATAATTTTTGCCGGACTTGCAAACTTTTGGAGTAATAATTATTTTTAAAACTATTTGCTAATCGTAAAATTACCCCTCAGTAAATTGTTGGCTTTATTGGGAACGTGTTTGGCTTTTTATTATCACCATCGTCGACCAAAAAACGCCGCCAAGTAGGAATGCCAAATCGGATCGGAGTAAAAGAACTTTCCAAAAAAATATTTATGATCAAATATGTCATTTTGATTAATTGTTTTTTTAAGTTTTGTTTTTTTTTTTTTACTTTAAATTTAAATCTTATCTACCGAATTATATTTGTTGAGTAAAAACTATTTAATAGTCCATTGACTTTAAATTATTTTGCCATGGGTCATTAAATCTCGAAGGGCAATAGAATTAGTAGAGGTGAGATTAGAAAAATTCAGAAGACAGTTCTGAAACACGTTAATAAAGAGTTTGTTGTGTACAGGGTGTGATGAAAAAACTGCAACCAAAATCAGACTGCTATCATTTCTAAGGCACTCGTCCGACAGCTGTTAAAATTATTCCAGTGACAGCTCACTATATTGTTTACAAGCGTAGAAAAGCATTTTGGTGAGAATTCTCCAGAAAAAATGTTATTCGTCATGGAATTCAAGCGTGATAGTGTGATTTCTTTATATTTGGCTATCGTTAGAGCACTCCAGTATTTAAATGTGAATAAATCTTTTGTGTCTCGTACCATCGCTCGATACCGTGATACTGGTAGCGTGACCCGACGTCAAGGAAGTGGACGGAAGAAAACAGCAAAATCAGGAGAAATGGTTCGAAAAGTAAAGAAGCGACTTGATCGAAACCCGCGCCGCAGTGGCTGAAAAATGGCTCGTAAGCTAAACGTATCGCAATATTGAAAAATGAGCTCGGGGTAAAGCCATTGAAATTCCAAAAAGTGCAAGAACTTACACCGCAACTGATAGAAACTGGACTCAAAAGAGGTAAGGAGTTGCTTCGCTTGGCCGAAATTGGTGAATTGCTGAATTTGGTTTTCTCCGATGAGAAAACATCCTTTGTCCAGCAGTTTGTAAACAAACAAAATGATCGTATTTACTTGCCACAGAGGTTAGCTGAAAATATGCACTTTCGGTTGGCCACCAGAACTCAAGCACCGGCCATGGTGATGGTGTGGGCCGCCATAACAGCCGATGGTCGCTCTCCGCTCGTATTAATCGACCGTGGCATCAGAATAAAATGCCGAATATTATCGCTAAAATATTCTGGAGGGTGTATTAAAGCCTTGGGCACGCAAACATTTTGGCCACAGACCTTGGACATTCCAACAGGACTCAGCACCATCACACTCAGCACGCGCCACCCATGAATGGTTACAAAATGAGGTTCCTCGCTTCATTTTCAGCGCATAATGACCACCAAAATCTCCGGACACCAATTCGTTGGACTATTGTGTCTGGAGTATTTTGGAAAGCATGGTTGGCACTAAAAAATTCCAAAGTGTCGATCACCTCAAACAAACGCTTCGCCGGTAATGGGCCAAATTACCGCAGAGCAACATTCGGGCAGCGTGTGGCGGTTTCATTGGCCGCTTGAAGGCCATAATTCGTGCTAAAGGTGACCAATTCGAATAAATCTAAACTTATTTTAAAATTTGATGCTATTTCCGACATTTTTTGCTTTCATTCAATACAATTTAAAAAAAATGTAAAAAATATGGCGTTTGACTTTGTTGCAGTTTTTTATTTTACCCTGAAATGTCTATATTTCTCTTGCAGGGGGTAAAGTACTTCATTGAAAAATTTGGTTTGGTCTTCGAACTTGACCTGCCTGCAGTCAAAAGACTGATCTTTGCAAAATTTTAGCTTCATATCTTTATTTGTTTTGACTCCAGCGTGATTATAACAAACAGACGGACGGATGGGCGGACATGGCTAAATCGTCTTAGAATTTTTTTCGCTGATCAAGAATATATATATATATATATTATGTTATGTCTAAAATTATTATTTCGATGAGTAACAAACGGAATGACGAACGTAATATACCCTCTATGTTATTTATGGTGGAGGATATAAAAATCTGTGATTCTGGCCAGGGATTTCTTTATACAATTCACTTGACTTGGTCATGAAGTCGATGAAAAAATATTTTTAACAACTCTTTGTACTTGGTAAAAATTTGACAATCCGAGATCTTCGTTCGCATTCTAAGTGATTCATTTTTTTTAAAAAAAGGAGCCCAAAAAATTGCCATACATTTTCCATTTCTAAAAAATTCTGTAATAACCACTATTGCAGCCGGAATCGAGGTGGTAGTTTCACCCCGGAGTCAACGAGTAACAATTGTATAAAATAAATTCATTTAGAGAAACAGCATCTTTCGACGCCAGATAGGTTAGCTCTGACTTCAATTACGAAATTAGCAACGATGTGCCAAGTTTTGGCTACATCGAATATTCCCTTCGAGAGCTATCGTGCATACAAGCCAGACAGACAGATGGACGCACAGGCATGGCTACATCTAGCTACAATTTTGTAAAAAGGATTTTGACAATGGGTCTAACCTAGTTATTTCTATGAGACACATTTTATCAGTATCCAGTGATATATACCCTCTCTAGCCGTAAGGCTGAGGATATCATTATATTTGTCAAGTGATTGCGACATACTTCTAATCTTATATATTTCAATTTGCAATATTTGTAATTTTGATTTATTCACTTTTAATCTCATAAAGTGGTGGTCTCAATTTATTTATTAAACAATGTCGAAAAATAACATTCCTCGCATATTTAATAATTTTCTTTTTATTAATTTTTTATTATTGAATTTAATGTTTTTTTAGATTCATTGGGAAATTAAGAAAATTAAAACCAAAATTAATTCATTTCGTTGTTCGTTGTAGAATTGCTGTTTACATACCTGTGGAACGTATTATTGCTACATTCCACAGCCACAATATATTAATTTAAAATAAATCCATACAAAATCATAGCATACTTTCAGGCAGTTAATATTAATTTTCACACACTAAGGTGCCTCACATATTCGTGAAGCAAATAATTTCAATTTAAATAATAAAAATTTTAAAGTTCTTCAAGCTTACCTGTTGCGATGACGATGTGGATGATGTTTCCTTAACACTACTACTGGAACTGGCATTTATTTGTCGACTGGTACTGCCACCACCACCACCAGATATGGCTATTTGATTGCCACCACCCCCACCATTGATGGACGGTGATGTGGTACCTCCAATGGTGCTGGGTATGCTAATACTTGGCGATGTTGTGACCGACGACGATGTCGATGAGGCTCCGCCGGGAACTGTGCCATTTTTCTTGTGGAAATTTTCAATGAACGAACTGGCCGGACTGATGACACCGCTCTGTGAACTATCCGAAAAATCTGACATCTGAAAAAAAGAAAACAAAATGGTTGATTATAAATAGCTGCAATTCAGAGCAGTTTTGTCAATGTTTATTTTAATAGATAAAAATATAGAACCAAGGTATATTTATTAGATCATCCATTGGGCGAATTCTGACAATGATCCCCTTAGTCTGTCAAAAGCTATAAAGAGAGTGTATATATCATTTAATACGGCCAAAATGTGTCTCATCGAAATAACGGTTTTAGACCCAAGGTCTCTTTGGACGAAATCTGTTTCAGGACATTGGGAGTAGATCTAGCGATGACTGGCTGGTTGGTGCACACGATAACTCTTGAAGGGAGTATCCGATTTTAACAAACTTGGTATATCGTAAAATTATTATCAATTTTAGATCGTGTTCGGAGATGGACAATATTGGTCCCCTCCCTCTGTTCCCTCACCACAAAAGGTAGAAATTTTCAAAAATAATAATTTACTGCACAGTAAGAGAAAGTATATTCCGATTTTGCTCCAACTTTGCAAATCCTAATATTTGAATCAGTGCTAGGTCATGGGCGAAAATGGACAATATCCGTCCACTCCATGCAGTATCTCCCCCACAAAAGGTTAAAATTTTGAATAATTATAACTCTTATAAAATGTGATGTAAGAGTCCGATTGCCTTCAAATCACACACATCACAATATTTGTATTAACCCAAAGTCTGGTGTGGAGATGCAATATATCGGTTCACACCATCCAGTACCTCCCCCACAGAGGGTAAAATCTTGAATATCCTTGAAGCTCATAAAACATGAAATTAACATCCGATTCCATTCAGACTTGGTATTTTTTAATGTTTCCATCAACATAAAATCTATTATAAAGACGGTAGAGGTCGGACCATTATTTCTGGTACATCCCCACAAAGGATCAAAGTTTTGAATTACCGAAACGATTACAAAATCCGAAATATGCACCTGGATCTATTCATATTTCACACATTACATTATTTTTACTAACACAAGATATACGGAGAAGATGGGATATATCAACACCCCCCCCCCCCCCCCCCCTCAAGTACCACTCCCACAAATACTCAATATTTCCATTAACACAAGACCTGTTGATCTGGACCATTTCTTTTCGTACCTCCCCCACATATGGCTCAATGTATTGAAAAACAAAACGCCCAAAGAAAGCGAAATAAGCATCCAACTCTCTACATATTTCACAACTATAAAAATTTTTCCTAACAAAAATCTCTTGTGAAGATGATATATATCTGCAAACAATTTTCAATACTTTTATCTGTCATAACTTGCGTGTCGAGTCAGTGATTGCTATATCTAAGCATATCTCTCATCATGTAACCTGAGATGAAATTGGTATTTATGATTTCGCCTAAAATTGGATATAAATGTTCGACTGAATTACACGTAGCCATACCAATATTTTTATCTTATTATATGAAGTATGAAAATGGAATACTTCGGTCGACTACATCTGGTTCCTCACGCACATTTTAACATTTTCTAAAAATGATCACATATTTCATATAAAGTGAAGGAAGTAGTCCAGGCTTGGACTATACCTGGCCTGTCCGATACGAAATGATAAATATTGGTCAATTACTTTGGAACTTACTCCATACAGGGTCCAAAACTTGAATAACCATAAGAGAAATCAAAATATATTAAGATAATCGAAAATTGCCTGAGGGTACACATCTGTCGGCAAAACCGACGAAAAGGAGAATTTGGACGCAAAAAAGTCAATGTTTGTATTATTGTCGATTGTCTGTAGAGCAAAATCAGGAAATTTTGCTGTTTTTTGGTCCATTTCAACCCCTAACTATCGTGCGATCATCTCAAAACAAGTATGATTATATTCCCTAACCCCACTTTTATTTTCAATTTCGTGAGGATCGGGTCACGATTGTGACCTGTAGCGTGATTACGATTAACATGGAGAGACGGACGGACATACATAGCTAAATCGACTCAGCTCGGCGAGATAGAAAGATCCATATATAGTTTCCAATGTCGGGGACCAATATTTCGTGATGTTACATAATTTTTGGTCCAATCAAACTTATAACACCCCCATTTATATAAATTACATATTAGGTTACACATAGACATATTAAGACACATTAAGAACTCAATTGTTATCGATGTAAATTTAAGTTCTAAAAATATAAAAATAGAACAACACATAATTGTATTCGATTTTATTGGCCGAAAGAAAAATATTAACACCTCCAAAAAAATAAAAAAAAAAACACCAAAACATACTACCTCAAATCCCATAATAAAATATGCAAAAAAGGCAGCAACAACAAAGAGGAGTAGAAGTAGAAGAAGAAAACACACACAATTGCCATCGAAAACGGTTGAGAGAAAATAGAAAAATTAAAATGCAAATCACATTGTCAAAGGAAATCCCACGTCCATTGTTCAATAGTTATTCTGCCAGCAACAATAACAGCAGCAACAATAACACCACCAACAACAATAACAATAAAGTCAATGTCTTCCCAATTGTGTGGTTGGTTGGTAGGTAAGTATTGCGAATTTAATTAACAAATTGGCGAAACATTCAACATTTTCTACACTGACAAAAAAAAAAAACGTGCAAAAAATGTCATTCGAAAATATCTACCCAGCAAAAATTTGATAGCATAATGTACCATTTTCAATATTACTAGTAATGACAACTACATACCCTCTGCATTACAAGTATGATAAAAATAATGAGTTATTTCCAGATAATTTTAAAGGAATAAATTAAAGAGTATCAGTCGATTTTGCAGTCAAATGTACACCTTCACCCAATGATCAATTATTTAAACATATTTTGACTTCTGTTATGATTATTCAAATTGTTGATCCTCTATGCAGTAGGTTCCGAATTAATGGGCCAATATTGTCCATTTCGTAAATATATTGGTTTGGACTATATTGGTTAATTCCTTCACTATATATGAGATATGTGATAGTTTTTAGAAAATCCAGATAAAAATATTGTTATGGGCATTTACAAGAAATTCGAACTTTTACAGGGTGAGATGAAAAAACTGAAACCTACTTCAGACTGCTGTCATTTCTAAGCCACTCGTCCGATAGCTGTTAAAATTATTCCAGTGACAGCTCATTATATTGTTTACAAGCGTACAAAAGCATTTTGGTGAGAATTTTCCAGAAAAAAAGTTATTCGTGATGGAATTCAGGCCTGATACTGTGATTTCTTTATATTTGGCTGGAAAACCACAAGTGGCTATCGTTAGAGTACTCCAGTACCGAGATACTGGTGGCGTAGCCCGACGCCAAGGAAGTGGACGGAAGAACAGAAAGCAACATCAGCAGAAATGGTTCGAAAAGTAATGAAGCGACTTGATCGAATGCCAAGTCGCAGTGGCCGAAAAAATGGCTCGTGAGCTGAACATGTCGCAATATTCCATTCGGCAAATATTAAAAAATGTGCTAGGGGTAAAGCCATTTCCAAAAAGTGCAAGAACTTACTCCGCCACAGAAAGAAAATAGACTCAAAAGAGCTAAAACGTTGCTTCGCTTGGCCGAAAGTGGTGAACTGCCGAATCGTGTTTTCTCCGTCTCCGATAAGAAAAAATTTGTTGTCCAGCAATTTGTAAACAAACAAAATGATCGTGTTTACTTGCTAAAGAGGTCTGCTGAAAGTGTGCACCTTCGGCTGGCCACCAGAACTCAAGCGCCGGCCATGGTGATGGTGTGGGCCGCCATAACAGCAGATGGTCGCTCTCCGTTCGTATTAATCGACCGTGGCATCAGAATAAACTGCCGAATATTATCGCGAAAATATTCTGGAGGGTGTATTAAAGCCTTGGGCACGCAAACATTTTGGCCGCAGACCTTGGACATTCCAACAGGACACAGCACGTACCACCCAAGAATGATTACAAAATGAGGTTCCTCGCTTCATTTCCAGCGCACAATGGCCACCAAAATCTTCGGATACAAATCCGTTGGACTATTGTGTCTGGAGTACTTTGAAAAGTAAGGTTGGTACTAAAAAATGCCAAAGTGTCGATCACCTCAAGCAAGTCCTTCAACGGGAATGGTCCAAAATACCACAGAGCAGCATTCGGGCAGCGTGTGACGGTTTCTTTGGCCGTTTGAAGGCCATATTTCGTACCAAAGGTGACCAATTCGAACAAATCTAAACTTATTCTGAAATTTGATGCTATTTCCGACATGTTTTGCTTTCATGTAATAAAATTAAAAAAATGTAAAAATTATGGCGTCCGACTTTGTTGCAGTTTTTTTTATCTCACTAGTGCCAGGACAGATGCGAAAATGGACAATATCTGTCCACTCCATGAAGTACCTCTCCCACAAAGAGTCAAAATTTTGAATAATTATAGCTTTTATATAATGTGATGTAAGAGTCCTATTTTCCTCAAGTCACACACATTACAATATTTTTATTAATCCGAGGTCTGGTGTGAAGATGGGATATATCCGTAAATTCCTTCTGTTACCTTTCACTCAAACAATTCCTTCTGGTAAATAATCAAAACGACTATAAAATCCGAAATAAGTATCCGTTTCTCTTTATATTTCACACATCCCATTATTTCTACGAACACAAGATCTGCTGTGAAAATAATAACAATAAAAAAAATATCGGTTCACTCCTTCTGGTACCTTCCCCACGAAGGGTCAAAATTTTGAATATCCATGAAACTCATAAAACGCGAAATTAACATCCGATTTCATTCAAACGGGCTGCATCTCAATATTTCCATCAACAATATCTGTTATAAAGATGGTGGAGATCGGACAATTTCTTCTGGTACCTCCCCGAAATGAGTATCCGGTTCTCTTCAAATTTCACTCATTATTTTTACTAACACAAGATCTGCTGCGAAAATGGGATGTATCGGCGAACTTCTTCTGGCACGTCGCAATATTTATATCATATTTATTTAGGTCCGATACGAAATGGACAATATTGACCCATTCCTTCGGAACCTACTCCATAGAGGGTGAATAATCATAACA